GCAGGAAACCTGCTGTTTAGTTTTTAGAAATGTTTGCTATAGGGAGCATGAGCTCACTGGAGAGACAGAGACAGAAAGTGAGAAATCACTCTCAGGGGAATGACCACGCCACAGTCCCTTCTCCTCCGTTCTCCTGTCAGGATTCTGACTACGCACACGTGCCCCATGAGTTTCAATTCACCAGGTTCAGGACTCAAACTGTGGTCAATGATGTGGGAGTCCAGTGCCTTAACCACTACGCCACCTGCCAGTCTCTTCTATAATTTTTTCTCCTTCTGTCTATACTTTTTCCAATATCTTTCTTTTTTTCTTTTTAAGAGAGTTTTTTTTTTTTTGCTATAGGGCACGTCCACTTGCCCAGAGAGATGGAGAAAGACAGAAAGTGAGAAATCGCCCCCAGGGGTGATGGCCATGCTGCAATCTCTTCTCCTTCAGTCTCCTCTCAAGATTTTGGGTACATACACACATGCGTATGGCATGAGTTTTAAGCTGCCGTGTCCAGGACTCGAACTGTGGTCAACTACATAGGAGTCCAGCAATGCAACCACTATGCCAACTGCTGGTCCCACCTGTACTGTATTTTTTACAAATGTAAAAGAGCCACAGTGGCATGTACGGGTAAGATGCTGCTGCCAAGGCCGACTGGCGAGGCCAGGGTTCGATCTCTGGCCCTCCCTGAAGCCAAGTGCAGCAGCACATGCCTGTCGTCCCAGTTACTCAGGAGGTTAAAGCATGAGGATTGTGACATAGTAAAAATAAATAAAAAATAAAAGTAAATTTAAAAAAATAAATAAAAGTAAAGGACTTAATAGACATATCGCTAAATAAGGTATGTGAGTGGTCAAAAAAGCCCATGAGGAGATGCACACTTAATGATTAGGGCATTAAAAACCACAGTGAGGAAGAGCCGGAGCTGTAAAGAGAGAGGACAAGTGTACAGAGCAGAGGCTGCAGGGGAGGGGGTGGACGGCACAGGGGTCAGGGGCTCAGGGAAGAAATGCTTTGTAGCCGTAAGAAAGCAAAAGGGATATATGGGCGATTTCCTCGATTGAAGGGTCACATACGGCATGCAGACTTTGAAAGGCTATATTGTGTGCCCTACAGATGTACAAGTAAATGAGTAAGAAATCATAAAAAAGAGGACTGTAAAAGAGTCCAAGAAAAAAGGAACCAGCAGTTAGCGTAATGACTATGTCGCTGGACTCCCACGTAGTCGACCATGGTTCCAGTCCCGGACCCTTAAACTCACACCGGGCACGTGTGCATGTGTGCCCAAGATCCTGAGAGGAGAATGGAGGAGAAGGGATTGAGGCATGGCCATCCCCCTGGGGGGTGATTTCTCGCTTTCTGTCTCTGTCTCTATCTTTCTGGTGAACACATGTGCCCTATAGCAAAAAAACTCTCAAAAAAAAAAAAAAAAGTCCAAGAAAGAAGAAAATAAGAGGAAGGAAATGACCAAGAGCAGAAATCTATAAAATAGAAAGCAATGATAAAGTGAAGAAAAAGTCAAAGCCATTAAAAACACACACACAATGAAATACTACTTTACAGTTTTCATAATATAGTTGATTGTTTAAAGAATTATTTCCTTTATTTATTATTATTGTTATTTCTAATTTGACCATAGCAAGACACACAGAGAGTGAGAGAGAGAGAAAGCAAGCCTCCAGGTCCGGGACTTGAACCATGGTTAGTCATGTGGGAGTACAACACCTTTAACCACTGTGCCACTTGCAGGCCCCAGTATAGTTAAAATTTAAATGCGACAATACCAAGTGTTAGAGAAGACAAACACCAAGTGGAATTCTCGTACAATTCTCGTGGGAATTCAAATGGTTCAGCCACTCTGAAACACTGCGAAGTTGCCCAAAGTTAACCAGTCAGCTCATTCCTATTTACTCAACAGAAATAAGAATTCATTTCACACACACCTGTAAAAATGTTTATAGTTGTTTTATCTATAATCATTAGAAATTTGAAAAAAATCTAAGTATCCTAACTAGTGACTGGGAAAATAAAGTGTGATATATTTATACAATGGAACTACTCACTAATAAAAATGAACAAACATATGACAACAAAGGAGAATCCAAATCCATTCTTTTTTTTTTGGAGAAGGTTTTTCTTGCTATAGGGCGCGTGCACTCGCCAAACAGAGAGAAACAGAGAGACAGAAAGCGAGAAATCACCCCCCAGGGGTGATGGCCATGCCACAATCCCTTCTCTTCCGTTCTCCTCTTGGGATCTTGGGCACGCACGCACACGCACCCAGTGTGAGTTTTAAGCCACCAGGTCCGGGATGCGAACCGTGGTCGACTATGTGGGAGTCCAGTGACATAGCCATTACACTAACTGCTGGTCCCCCAAATCCATTCTTAAGTAGAAAGATCAGACCTGCAAGTGGCATAGTGGTTAAGGCACTGGACTCTCAAATAGCCAGCTGTGGTTTGAGCCCTGGACCTGGCAGCTTGAAAATTGCACTGGGGGTGTGGGTGTAGCATAGTGGTTAAGGCACTGGACTCTCAAATAGCCAGCTGTGGTTTGAGCCCTGGACCTGGCAGCTTGAAAATCGCACTGGGGGTGTGGGTGTGCATGTCCTAAATCCCAGGAAGGTGGAGGAGAAGTGATTGTGGTATCACCATCCCCCTTGGTGGGGGTGATTTCTCACATTGCCTCTCTCTCTGGTGAGCACATGCACCTTATGGCAGAAACCTTAAAAAAACAAACAGAAGAAGTCAGAGTCAAGAGAGGTCGCTTGTCCTGCAGTTCCACTTAGAGGTCATTCCAGAAAAGGCAAAATTATAGAATCGGAAGACTGATCAGTCATTGCCACGGGCCTGGGATGTGGAAGGGGCTCATTGCAAAGGGGCAGCAGGTGAGACATATTTTGGGCTACATGGCGGCTCTGGTACATTGATGGTGGCGGTTCCACAACTATTTGCATGTAGAACTGTCACCAAAAGACAGAATGTTGTCAGAAGTCCATTTTCCAAAAGCAAATCAAGTAGAAGCAAAACAAACAAACATGGCGACATTTCTGGGATTTCGACAGGCTGAAGATAGGAGTCTCCTTAGCAGCAGACAAATTATTCATAAAGAGGAAACGATATTTGCTCTTGAAAATAGGTGGTGGAGGAGGGGGAAAAGCAGCCTGTGGCTACCAAGTAAACATGGTAAATACTTTATTAGATGGGACATTTAAATCGTCAGTCTTCGTATGGATGATTTTCCATAGTCATGCAATCTTTTTATAATTTAGATTCTAGCTTTTAAAGGGCCGTGTCTTTTAAAATTTGTTTTCTAAGGATCAAGTCCCAGAAATACTGTCCCAGATAGATAATGCCGGTAACTTGATCATTTTCCAAGCATCATACATATTCCAGTATTTTCTGTCTAGTGAAGCCATCCATCTGTTGGCTCCTGATTTTTTAATGACAAACTTGCTGTCAGTGGGCTCCACGAAGCCTCACACTGGGCATACCCTTCTGACTCTCTGAAATGTCATTTGACATTGTCCTACATCATTACTCAACTATCCATGGGAGGAACAGTGGAGCAGGATTTAATTTTCAGGCCAGATTTCATAACATTCTGGGTCCAAAACCTTTTAAATGAAGTCCACTTCTGAATCTGGATCATCCATGCGTCATCTGCTTGGCCTTCATAATCCAATCAAAGAGCAGTAATGTTTATTAATCTGGACCCATGAGCCCCTGCAAAATATGCTAAATAATTTCATCCTGATGAAGAAAAATACCTAGGCATCTGGAAGGTAACAGTATTAGAAATAGAATGTAAGGTTGTAATTGGGAGCTTACAAAATAAATTCAGATTAGCATTTAGAAGAAAGTTCTTGGAAAATACCGTTTATTGGATAAAAGTTATAATAGCAAGAGTAGTCAGCAAATACTGGTTTCATATTTCAACTTAACGTACAGGGTAGATGTTTGTTCAAGATTCTCGAGGGAGGTTCAACATCAGCTGTATCCATTTTTATGAGATTAAAACATTACTGGAGAAACCCTCCTAAGATAAACTGAATTTGATCTAGCATTTCTTGTCTTTTGGTAGTTTTTAAAGGGAAAGTAGGCTAAAAATACAGATTAAAAATCAATGGCATAGGTTTTTTTTTCCTTTGGAGAGGTTTTTGCTATAGGGCGCGTGCGCTCGCCAGACAGAGACAGAGAGACAGAAAGCGAGAAATCACCCCCAGGGGGGATGGCCACACCGCAATCCCTTCTCCTCCATTCTCCTCTCAGGATCTTGGGCACGCACGCACACACGCCTGGTGTGAGTTCAAGCCACCGGGTCCGGGACTCGAACTGCGGTCGACTACATGGGAGTCCAGCGACATAGCCATTACGCTAACTGCTGGTCCCAATGGCATCGGTTCTTCAGCCTCGTCCCTAGAGGGCAGATATTCCCAATTTTGGAAATATCCAACAAGCAAGGGACGTGGTCTGCACAGACCAGGGCCAGACCAGAGGCCAGTTAGCTGCAGCTGTCTCCTGTACCTGCACCGAACCCCAGAAAGCATCCTGAGGCTTGAATACATTGAATTTCCAGAATATAACCCATGCTCATTTTACACAGGAATGGACAGACCACAAATTACGCTGGAATCCTGATGACTATGGTGGAATTCAATCAATTAAAGTTCCATCAGAATCTCTCTGGCTTCCTGACATAGTTCTCTTTGAAAAGTAAGTATCAAAGAAAACCACGTTGGCCAGATGAACACTAGCAGTAAGAAGTCTGATTCTGCGGGAAGGGGCAGGGGGCGGATATAAACTTTAAGAAAACAATTGTTTCTTTTCTAACATTGTTTGAGTGCCAGCCCTGTGGCACAGTGATTAAGTGCCATGTATTGGGAACTGGATCCCATGTGGCTGGCCATGGTTCAAATACCCGCCCTGGTGGCTTAAAAAACACCAGGCATGTGTGCATGTGTCCCAAACCCTGATAGTCTGGAAAGATGGAGGAAAAGGATGGCCTTATGACCACACCCTATTGGGAGGGCATGTTCTCTCTCTCTCTCTCTCCCTCTCTCTCTCTCTCTCCCCCCTCTCCTCTCTCTCTCTCCCCTCCCACTCTCTCTCATGGGCACATGCACCCTCTGGCTAAAAAATGTATAAGCCATTTGACATCCTAGTGAAAAAGGCAACAAAATACGAATAGAGCAGTGGTGGGAAAACCCCAAAACACTGAGCGTTTCACCACTAAAGCGAGACTACCTCGATTGCAGTGCAGATGGACGTTTCGAAGGCTCCCTCATGACCAAGGTCATAGTGAAATCTAACGGAACCGTGGTCTGGACTCCTCCCGCCAGTTACAAGAGTTCCTGCACCATGGACGTCACATTTTTCCCGTTCGACCGGCAGAACTGCTCCATGAAGTTTGGGTCCTGGACTTACGACGGTACCATGGTTGACCTCATTTTGATAAACGAAAATGTGGATAGGAAAGACTTCTTTGATAACGGAGAGTGGGAAATACTAAATGCGAAAGGGATGAAGGGAAACAGAAGAGACGGTTTATACTCGTACCCGTTTATCACGTATTCTTTCGTTCTGAGACGCTTGCCTCTGTTTTACACCCTCTTTCTGATCATCCCCTGCCTGGGGCTGTCGTTCCTCACGGTCCTTGTGTTCTATTTACCTTCCGATGAAGGAGAAAAGCTTTCGTTATCAACATCCGTTTTGGTGTCTCTGACAGTATTCCTTCTAGTGATTGAAGAAATCATCCCATCTTCTTCCAAAGTCATTCCCCTCATCGGAGAGTACCTGCTGTTCATTATGATTTTTGTTACCCTGTCGATTATTGTCACTGTCTTTGTAATCAACGTTCACCACAGATCTTCTTCAACCTACCATCCCATGGCCCCCTGGGTTAAGAGGCTCTTTCTGCAAAAACTTCCTAAATTACTTTGCATGAAGGACCACGTGGATCGCTACCCCTTTCCGGATCAAGAGGAGAGCAAGCCAGTCGTGAAGGGCAAACTCCTCGACAAGAAGAAACAGAAGCAGATGAGTGAAGGGGAAAGGGTTCTGGTTGCTTTCTTGGAAAAGGCTGCTGATTCCATCAGATACATTTCAAGGCACGTGAGGAAGGAGCATTTCATCAGCCAGGTGAGTAAGCTGGTCTTTGATGAGACTGCTGCTGTCGAGGGATGCAAATATCTTGACATCTGTTTCCAAGATGCTGTCATCGTTTAAAGTGGGACATGGGGCCAGCCCCGTAGTACAGTGGTTAAGTGATGTGCCTACAGATCCCACATGGCCAACCTTGGTTTGAATCCTGGCCCTGGTGTTTTGAGAAACATGTCAAGTGTGTGTGTCTTAAATCTTGATGGGATGGAGAAGTGGAGAAAGAGGATCGAGCATGACCAGGGCCCACTGGGGGATGCTTTCTCTCTTTTTCTGGCAAGCACACGGACCCACTCACCGGCAATACAAAAGCTGATGAAATAAATAAAAATAAAAATATGGCCAGAGGGGGCATGGTAGTTAAGGCAATGACCCCCCCACATGGCTAACCACAGTTCAAGTCCTGGACCTGGTGGCTTGCTTTCTCACTTCCTATCTCTCTCTCAGTCTCTCTCTCTCTCTGTGGTGAGTGCCTATATCAAAATTTTAAAAATAATGATGATAAATCAAAACTAAAAATAGGGACCAGCAGATGGCATAATGGTTATGTCAGTGAACTCCCATGTGGTGGACTACAGTTTGAGTCCCAGACACAGCGGCTTAAAACTCATGCTGGGTACCTGGGCGTGTGTGCCCAAGTTCCCGACAGGAGAATGGAGGAGAAGAGATTGCAGTCTGGTCATGCACCCCTGGAGGTGATTTTTCACTTTTTATCTCCACCTCTCTGTCTCTCTGGTGAGCACATGCACCTATAGTAAAAATCTCTCTCAAAAAAATTAATAAAATACAAATATAAAAATAAAAATAAAATATGACATTATTAGCTGTTCTCTTTACACATATAACTGGCCCATTGCTTTAAACAAATGATATATTTATACCAGTTCATAGGGCTCAACTATTTTATTTTAGAATTGGTGAAAATCAGTGCCAAGAGCCTGATCCTATAACAAATTTATAAAAGAATTAAAAAATATCCCAGTCTACATTTATCTTGCTTTACAGACACTGCCCGGGATATCCTGTCAATGATTTTATTTAAGTGCTACAAAGGGACCACTGCTATTGACCAAACATTTCAATCATTACATTGGGGTTATTTTATTTATTTCTTTGCAGCTTTGAAAAAAATACTAGTACAGGGCCAGCAGATGGTATGGTGGTTAAGGGCACTGGACTCCCACATGGCCAACTATGGTTCAAGTCCTGGACTTAGCTGCTTTCTCTCTCTCTCTCGTCAAAATGAAATAAATAAATAATATTAAATAAAATAATTTTAAAAATGCCAGTACAAAGATCTAAATAGTTTTAAAGTATTATTTTAAAAGCAACACATAGTGCCATAGTGCCAGCCAGGGTTGTGGTGGTTAAGGCAGCTGGATCCCACGTAGCCGACTGGTGTTTGAGTCCTAGACTCAGCTGCTTGAAATACATGCTGGGCACATGTCTGTGAATGCCTAAAATCTTGAGAAGAGAAGGAAGGAAAAGGGATTGCGCTGTGGTCATCCCCCCTGGGGTTGATTTCTTACTATTTCTCTGTCTGTCTCTCTCTGGTAATACATACACCTTATAGCAAAATTTGAAAAACAAAACAAACAGGAATACATGATCAGTATAGGGAATTTGGAAAATATAGAAAAGTACAAACAAAATGGTTAAAATGATAAGTAATCCCACCACTTAAGGTTGGTAGTTTTAACATTTTAATCTTTTAGTGTTTTGTTCCCCCAAGGCTTTACTTCTAAATCTAAGTGCAGAAAATACTCGATTCTGAATCAGCAGCTTCTGGACTTAGCAGCTTCTCCTCCTTCCTGCCCCACCGGATAGCAGCTCCTGTTCTGTTCCACTCTTACAGAGTCTCCCCTAGCAGGAATAAGACCTTTGTTTTCCCTTCAAAGGTGAGCACGTAGCCCTCTCCTTCACATCCACCTGGCTTTATCGCGGGTTGCTGCTCAGGCCCTGCTCTTACAGCCCATAGTCCATCCCTCCCAGTGTCCCCGCCTAACAAAGGGTGGTGTCCCGTCTCCTGTAGGGAGTCCCGTCTCCTCCTGGCCAGTTGTTGCTCGGGGCCATTTCCATCCGTTGAGACGTAGCAGCTGTACCTCCTTGCGGGATGTAAGACAAGGCCCTTGACATTTGGCCGCTGGAGTTCTTAAGTTAGAAAAGTGTGATTAATTCCATATGTGTATCAGGAAGCATCGCAGTAAGGTATATTTTTATGATCCTTATTGTTATTTTAATGTCAGAGGGCACATGTGCTTGCGAGAGACAGAGAAAGCACCCCTACCACCGATGAGTCTGGTCACACCACAATCCTCTCTCCAATCCTCCTTCCTGGCGGGACTTTGGGCATGCACGCACCCACACCCGGCCATGTCTTACACAACACCGGGAGCAGGAGTCAGTCTGTGGTTGGCCGCGTGGGATCCAGCTGCCTGCATCACTGTGCTGCAGGGCCAGCCCAAGAAGAGCTGTTTATGTGTGTAAGTAAATTCCCACTGTGATCGGTGACGTTTACAGATACGTAGACCATTTTTTTGTTTCTGTTTTACTTCCTCAGTATTGATGATAAGCTCCCTCAAAACAACTTCCAGCTGTTTTCTTTGGGCACTGTTAGTGAAGCCACTGGAAAGAATCTGCGACTACATGGTGGGTGATGTGTTAGGAGCATTTTGAAAACTTAAGTGCCATAAATCTGAATAGTACTGCTTTTAAATCCCTTGAAATGAATTTAGAACTGTTCACCGACTTGTTGAATGAAAGGCGTCTTTTCCTCTTTTGCAGGTGGTACAAGACTGGAAATTTGTAGCTCAAGTTCTCGACCGAATCTTCCTGTGGCTCTTTCTGATAGTGTCGGTGACAGGCTCGGTTCTGATTTTCACCCCTGCTTTGAAGATGTGGCTTCATAGTTACCATTAGGAACAAGGTTCTGGAACAATTTAAAGACATTCCATAGAGACAATGACACTTTAGACCTCACAACCGTCGAGCATGTATATAGAACCCCATGCACCTACTCGTTCTAAAAGCCCGGATTGTGTAGTCTTCACAGTAAGATATACTTTTTAATTTGTGTAAAAATCAGGCATTTCCCATTTTGGCCAGCGATGTTTACGTGCACATAAATAATTCCATTGTTTCTATTCTACTTCTTCCATGTGGATGAAAGTGTATCTATAAACTCAACTTTCAGGCTTGAACTATTAGCTTATCTGGAAAGTCCTGACATATTTTTTCTGTTTTTCTATGCAAAAACGCAGCATGACTTTCCTGATGACCCAGTAGAATCTCTCTTGATGGGAGATACCTTGGTAAATGTGGGTTTGTCCAAGGAAGTGTGTGATTGTCATTAGAGCTGTGCTTAAAGAAAGCTCAGCCTCCCCAGGTCCCTGCCTTGGTGTCCCCAGATGTTCAGGGGGAAGCACAGGTCCAGGCCTGAGTTCACAGGCCAGAACCCGCGAGGAGCTGTTACTGTTGGTGAGCGAATGCCCTGGGACTCAGGACACCTAACTAGGGAGGGCCACCAAGAATTCAAGCGGGGCTCCGAGTCCAGCTATGTGTGTGGGCCGGACCTGGATTCTCTGCATCTATTGGTCTCCTTGGCGGTTTTATCTGAGTGGCGGCCTGGGGCTGTGTTGTGTTCTTCTAGCAATGCAGATGGACGAACCTCAACAATGGTTTGGGGACTTACACGGGTACAGTGCCATCTGCACGGCACACATGTAATTACAGGTTCCAAAGTGAACTAGCTGAGGCGCTCCCTCCCCCCATATGGTACTCACTGAAAACAGCCTTACTCAACATTGTAAGCCTCTACGGCAGGTGTGAGTTATCACATTCTAAAGGTTTCATATGGTGAAATGAGGAACTGCTGTGAGTTGAGACTTGCTTTAAGGAATAGCAAAATAACTTACATAGCAACAACGTCACCTCTGCCAGAAATGCATCGTCAATACCCATAATCTTCTCTTGCAAAACTAAGGTACTGAACGTTCTCTGATAACGGCTCTTAGTGTCACCTCGCCTAACTGAATCCATCCCCACGCTCTCGTCTGGGTTTTTCATCCCTTTTTCAGGGTGTCCTATCCATCTGGTGCACTGTATCCCCCACCCTCACCCCAAGACTCACAAGGAACAGTCTGCACACATGCCTTTTGCCCCTCGAAATTGCCGCTGCAATCCAACGTATATTGCAAAGAGCGAGAGGAGAGGGTTTCAGACGTTCACAGTGTGAAGTAAGGATGAGCTCATTGCCCTGGTCTGATCGTCACACATTGCATTTGGGTATTGGGAAAAGCTACACTACACCGTAAGTATGTACAGCTGGCGTACGTAAATCACAAACTGTAATAAAAATAAATAAGATTTGAAAAGTGCTGCTTTTGCCACCAACTCCTTCCTACGTTTTAGCTTAAAGCAGTTTTCTTCTTACTCAACTATAAATCCAGATCTGGGAAGGACCTATAGCTCAGCAGTTAAGGGTTGTGCATAGAAAGCTGGATTCCACACACTCACCACAGTTCGAATCCTGTCCCCAACAGCTTGAAACACACAGTGAGTGCGTGTCTGAAATTCTGGTAGGATGAGAAAATGGAGTAAAATGATTACAGTATAAGCATGCACCCATGGGGAGGGGGGTGTGAGTGTGTTCTCCCTCTGTCTCTTCTGGTGAGCAAATGTACCCACTTACAATAAATAAATAAATGAATAAGTCCAATTCCCCTTCTGGAGAGCCTTTATTTTTCTTTTAATGTGGCGTATATATACAGTGGAATACTACTTGGCTGTTAAAAAGAACAAAATCCTGTGATCTGAGGTGACAAGAACGAGCCTGGAGGCTGTGACATGAACGAGGCCAGGTGCAGGAAGAGGCCACGTGTTCTCCTCATACGTGGGCATTGAAAGCATGACCTATTGCTGTAGAGAGATGAGGAATGACACTAGAAGCCTGGCAGACACTGTACCCCATAAATCTGTACGTCTACTGTATGCAAATCAAAATTATAATGAGCAATCTATTCATGCTGGGAGCAATCCTGGACACTGTTAGGATGAATAGTAATTAAAAGTAAAATAAAGTCTAATGCCATTGTTAGTGTAATTACAGCAAAACAATTATAAGTAATAAATCACATTTACGTTTTTAAATATTATATTTGAAACATTTTATATGATCAACGTATTCCTTCTTTAAAAAATAGAGGTGCGTTTTTTGTGCCGTGTCCATATGTCATGGAATACGGGAGCCCCTTGTATCATCCACATCTATGATGTCTATGAACATCTGCCTGGGTTTCTTGTGTTTTTTTTTAGAAGTTTTTTGGTTCTTTTTTGCTTTAGGATTCACGTGCTTGCCAGAGAGAGACAGACAGACAGACAGACACAGTGAGAGAGAAAGTGAGAAATCGTTCCCCAGAGGGGATGCCACACAGCACCAATCCCTTCTCTATTCTCCTCCTGGGATCTTGGGCACGCGCACACGCACACACACACACATGCCTGGCATGAGTTTCAAGCCTCTAGGTCTGGGACTAGAACTGCAGTCGGCCATGTGGGAGTCCACCGACGTAACAGTTGTGCCACCTGCTGGTCCCTCCTGGGTTTCTCAAAGGGAAGCAACTTGGGGAAGTGAAAACCTGGGCACTAAGACTCCTGGGTTCTAGATGGCAACTCCTGGCTGTGTGAGCTCTGGGGCCGGGGAGTTCCTTGTCTTCTCCAGGTCTTAGTTTTCAGGTCAGTAACGAGAGGGTCAGACTCATGACATTCGACCTCTCCCCTGCTCTAAAGTTCTGTGCTTTGGAGATTATACTGGAGTTTTTAACAATTTTGTGTGAGTTTTTCTTTCTTATTTTTCCCTATAGGGTGTATGCACTCACTGGGCAGAGACAAAGAAAGAGACAAAGTAAGCAACCACACCCCCACCCCCAGGGGGATGACCACACTGCAATCCCTCCTCCTCCATTCTCCTCTCAGGATCTTGGCCACACATGCACATATGCCTGCATGTTTTCCACGCCTCCAGGTCCGGGACAACTAATTGCAACGTTATTCCTTTGGGAAAATACAATCTTCATCACCAGCTGAGGACAGGATCTGCAGGAATATACCATGATGAGCATCAAGGATTCTTGCCCTTCGTTTCTGATGGGATCGTGGATTCAAAGGGCAAATTGCGATTCTCCCGTTTATTGCCAATACTATTGACTTTAACTTACTGCTTATGTTTAACTCACGACTTTGCTAGGTAAACAAGAATACTAATTTTAGAAAAATATGTTTAGATCTGAATTTAGTTTTAGGTTTTGAAAAATACCAGCACAGAACCAGCCCATGGCCTGATGGCTATGTGAGCTGGATCCTACTTGGCTGACGATGTGTTCGAGTCCTGAACTCAGTGACTTCAAAAACTTGCTAGCGGTGTGTGTGTATGTTGTGTGTGTGTGCGCGTGCGTGTGTGCATGCATGCCCAAAATCCCAATAGGAAGGAAAAATGAAGGAGAAAGGACTGTGGTATGACCATGGCCAATGGACTATATTTTCTCTCTCTCTTTCTGGCAAACACATGCACCCTCTGGCAAATTAAAAGAAAAAGACCAGCATGAAACACTTTCTACAGCAATCCCCTTTCTGATCCAACACAAATACAGAGAAGATCAACCCTTTATATGCGTGCAGGCGGCTTAAGCCTCAGTGCAGCTAAGGTGGAGGATGATGATAACAGTTCAAACGTGGAAAAGGATAAATATTTATATATCATAACAGCCCCAAGGAAACAACTACAAAAAATGACTTCGAAGCAAAGAAATTTAAATTTTGAACGTATGACAAGAAAAATCTGTGGGCCGAAGATGATAATGTGTTTCATATTCTCAACTGGACTGGTGTGAAGCATATTCGTGTTGGGTAAATTCTACTTACAAGCAAAGTGATGTGTAGTGATTACATGTATAAAATTAAATAAATAACATTTTAAAAATTAAAAAATATATATATTTTTTAAAAAAGAATCTGCCAACTGATCCCCATAAATGGATATTGCAAGACCTTTACCACCCCCATCACACATGTGAGCATGGGGAGGGACACACATGAGGGGTCGCACACACTTGGGGGGACACACAGAGCTGCCCTGAGTTGTTCTCATTCGTCATGTTTCTGCTCATACCCCACCTTCTCGGGATGTCTTCGCAGAACCCTCAGCCTTAGCTCAGCTCCCGTTCCTGGCATTTTCAGTCCATATAATATGGTTTAGAATATAATGATTACTATTTTTAAGAATTATTTATTTACTTAATTCCATTTATTATCATTATTTTCTTTTAAATTTTAACAGACAGAGATGGAGAGAGAAAGAAAGGGAAAGCAAGAAAACAAGCTGCCAGGTCCAGGACTCAAACCATGGTTGACCGTGTGGGAATCCAGTGCCTTTAACCACCATGCCACCTACTGGCTCCAATGGTTATTATTTTATTAAATGAACTTTATTGCCATAGCTCCTCCAGCCTATCTTCTAACAGTATCTAACAGAGCTGAGGACACAGCTAAGGCTTAATTAACATTTGTTGACTAATTAAACCAGATCCCAGAAACTTTGGATTAGGTTGTTTGTCTAAGATGGGGACAAATTTAAACCCTTGCTCAATCCCTCCCAACATTTCTATGAAAAGATATTTATAAAAGCTATGGGGCCAGTCCATGGTGTGGTAGTTAAGGTGGCTGGATCCTACATGGCCGACTGCGTGGTTCGAGTCCTGGACCCGGTCACTTGAAAAACAGGCCAGGCAGATGCACATGTGTACCCAAAGTCCTGAAAGGAGAAATGGAGAAGAGATTTTGACGTGACCAGGCCCCATGGAGTGGTCCTTTCTTACTTTCCTCCTCTCTGGTGAGCACATGTGCCCTCAGGCAAAATTTTTTAAAAAGAAGAAAGTCTGTGAATTTAAAAAAATGAACTGAAGAGCCCATTTGTTCCAGAACAGGGCTGAAAGGCAGTTGAGGAAACTGAACTCAGGCACACTGAGGGTGACTGACCTTGGAATATTCACCCACCCTGCCTTTTGATCATCTTCGACCCCTTTTTCTCCCAGAGTCAAGAAAGAACTTTGCCCTAGTACTCCACTATGAGCTTGCAGACTGGACCCACCAAAGGAGACGTTGGCTACTCCTGACTCCATCCTGTGGGCTCATTAGTTAAGCTCCAGTCATGGGAAGGACGCCTGAAGAACGCCACTCACCTGGGTGAGTTTTGTCACCAGCCGTTCCTATCCCCCAGGCTCCTCAGCTCCCAAGAATTGTGTACCGGCCATCATTTGAGACAGAAACTTTTCTTTCCCTTCCCCATTCATGACTTTTGTCTTTAAAATCACCCTGAAACCTGTGACCACGCAACACGCATTTTGGCTTCTCGCTTCGGCCCAAATAGACTCTTGTTTTGTTTACCTTACCCTGGCCCTCTTTGTAACTTTTAGTTTCACTTGAAAGGTCATTCGTTTAAGCGAGCATGGAGGCAGCGGGTCTGCAAAGTACACGAGGAATGCTCAGCGCGCGGACACCGATGAGTCCAGGAGCATCTGAGCTAGTGCAGGTGCGCACTCGGGGAGCATCTGAGCTAGTGCAGGTGCGCACTCCGGGAGCATCTGAGCTAGTGCAGGTGCACACTCCTAAGAAAGCCTCAGGTGTGCCGTTTTCTTTTCATAAAGCACTGACTCAGGTAGACCTGAATCCCCCCTTTTGGGGCGGGGGTGGTCTATTTTGTGCTCTATCAGCTTTTTTAAAGTTTCAGTTTGATGACCTGACATTTTACCATGAGAGATTCCATTTTGGTCCATTCTGTTGGGGCTTGGAGTAGGAACTTAGCCCAAAACAATGGCCTTCTAAAGTGTTTATTTCACAGGACTGTATAAAGAACTACAACTCAACAACAGAAAGCCTGACTTTAACATGAGAAGAGGGGGCCAGCCGGTGCCATGGTGGTCGGGTCAGCTGGTTCCTACACAGCCAACTGTGTGGTTTGAGTCCTGGACCTGGAGGCTTAAAAAACACACAGGGTGCACATTCGTGTGCCCAAGATCCTGAAAGGAGGAGGAAATGGAGAAGGGATTGCCGCATGACCATCCCCCATGGGAGGGATGCTTTCTCATTTTCTCTCTCTCTGGTGAGCACACACACCCTCTGACAAAATTAAAAACAAGGGATTGCCGCATGACCATCCCCCATGGGAGGGATGCTTTCTCATTTTCTCTCTCTCTGGTGAGCACACACACCCTCTGACAAAATTAAAAACAAGAAAAAGAAAAAAGAAAGAAAGGAAGGAAGGAAGGCCGAAACTGTCAGTGCAACAAAAGTGGCTTATTTGTGGCCAGAACCTAGTCTGAATCTCCTGAATGAAAAACTCTAGCACCTGGACTATGCTCACCCAGACGGTAGAGAGGGCTTGTTTAGACAACAGAGAGAGGGGCAAGAAAGGGGGAGGCGCTGAGCTTCTATCGAGAGTTTACATTGGTCCATTTAAATTAACCCTGTCAACTGATTGGCTATACGTTACTCCTTACGTCATGAACTTGAGAACGTTGTGATGAAGAGCGAGGTCACAGTGTAAACCTATCACCCTCTGCATGTCACTTCCATACCATAAACTAAAACATATCTTGGCAGTATCCCCAATGTGTGTTGGGCATAACCAGGTCTCGGGGTCACATCTCTCCGAGAATTAATGGATGTCAGCTTTCACAGATGCTCTGAACTGCTTCTTTCTTTCCTTCCTTTCCTTTCTATTTTTTTTTTCTTTTTAAGAATTTTGTCTTATACCGACTATCCGCGCTCTAGGGTAGAGAGCAAAATGTTGGAGGACATAAAAGCAGTGAAGGTACTTAACAAGAATAGGACAGTGCGGAATGGGGGGGTAAAGAGAAGAGGATAGAGAAAGATAGCAAGAGAACAATAGAGAGGCAGGACGTTAGTGGGACACAGATATGGCTTATTACCTGTTGATGATGACGTGTATCGTATTCTCAACTGGATTGGTCTGAGATGTATTTCAGGATGGGTAAAGTCTTTTTACAAGCGAAATGAGAAATAGTGATTGACTGTTTAAAAATAATTGGAATAATAATAATGATTGTGAAAAACAATGAAAAGATATTGAATGATGAAGTGGGGAGATTTATGTCTCTGTATTGACTGACATGCATGGCATTCCCTTTTTTAATTAAGAGGTTTTTACTATAGGGCACATGCGTTCGCCAGACAGACAGAGAGAGACAGAGAGATAGAAAGCAAGAAATTACCCCCCCCAGGGGGGATGGCCACGCCACAATCCCTTCTTCATTCTCCTCTCGGGTTCTTGGTCACGCACGCACACGTGCCCGGCATGAGTTTAACCCACCGGGTCTGGGACTCAAACCACGGTGGACTACGTGGGAGGCCAGTGACATAGCCATTATGCTAATTGCTGGTCCCTGGCATTCCCTTTTGAAAAAGCAATGTAATACACTGTAAAGTTATATGCAATTCAATGCAATATAAACAAGATTATGATGATAAAAAAATAAATAATTTGTAAAAGGAGAATTTTGTCTTAGGTCGTGTGCATTCACCACAGAGAGAGAGACAGACGGTGAGAGCGAAAATGAGAAATCACCCCATGGGGGAATGGCCATGCCACAGTCGCTTCTGTTCCATTCTCTTCCTGGGATCTTGGGCTTGCACGCACAGGTGCCCAGCGTGATTGTCTAGTCACCAGGTCCAGGACTCGAACCATAGTTGGCCATGTGAGCGTCCAATGATGTAACTGCTACACCATCTGCTGGTCCCTGCCTTGCTTTTGCAGCAGTAAAAATGCTGATGTATCAACCTAATGGAGATGATGCCATTATACAAATTATACTTTCAGACTATGAAATGTCACGGAGGAAATGTTGATGTTGTCTGGAGAAAACTGCAAACCTAAAAAAGGCAAAATTGAGGTGTAAAACTTTGTATGCACATGGACAACGATGAGACAAAAAAGGCAAAAATACCATCACGTCTTTTATTAGAGTCGATTTATTGTTTCCTGCTTTCAAATACATCTTTAAAATTTGTTATGGTGATGTTCATACACTAGATAGAAGATAACCAGAGCGGAATTAAACAGAATTCCTCGTGTTCTTCTTCTCTTTAGCAAAGGAACTGCTCCACCAGGCACAATGCTGTAATTTCTTCTAGAGGAAAGAACTTTATTTTCAGACTCAGGACAACGACAGGTGGAAACTGTGAGGATAAAAGACTAGAAGAACTTTAGTCAGCCCACAACACCGGTGGCTTCCAGTTTGCGTGGCCATGCCACACGATGTTCTCCCATTTGGGTGGCTCCAGTGACACGTCCCACGTGGTTCCTGGTCCTGCAGATCCAGATCTTTGGATTTCCGGCCTTTCCTAAAACGCTGTAGGTGCTTGGGGGAAGAACCTATTTCTGTTACCCTTGCCCAACCTAGCACAGCGCTGGGAGCCACTCGAGCTTCTTGATGGATGAGTGTTAATTAGACAGCGTGCTGTGGCAGGCACTGCAGTGTTCTGTAAAACCGACTAATGTATCGGGTGACTGCATCACAGAGACATGCACAGGTGAGGATGTGATCATTTGTGAGAGTGGTGAGGGCCGAGCCCCAGGGTCCCCTGGCTCCCTGTCACTGTGCTAAGAAACAGCCCGGACTGCAAGTGCAGCAGGCCCTCGTCCTAGGGTGGCTTGATGTCAGTGACACAGCTTAGCCGTCTTACGGGTCACTGTTGTCCCTAGGAGCCAGACATGTGCAGACAAGGGAAGCCTGACCTGGCACCTCCCCTGCGGGGCCGCCAGCTCCAAGCCCCAGGGCTCAGACACCTCGCACACTGCCTAGGGCTTCACGGGAGGTGCTCCGACTCCTGAATTCCAATAAAGTCCCTATTTGCCACCGAGTCACCAGTTTCAGCAGATGGAGGACCTGGGTGGGACGTTTTATGTCCCTTTCCATGGAGGAGGGAATACAGAACAAATACAGTGTTGGTAAGTTTCCGAAGATAAAACTTAACTGCATCTTAAGATTTTCCTGTGTTCCCAAGTAGTGGCTGCAGAAACAGCCCAGCAGTCCCAAAGACACAGACGATGATGAACACCCAGAGGAACACTCTGTCCACCACCATGGCCACGTACTTCCAGTCGTCTTCCACCTGAAGCACAAGCAAAAAGGCACGGCCATTTAAAAAAATCAAAACCATGGGAAACGGGGAGCCAGCAGTTAGCGTAATGGCTATGTCGCTAGACTCCCACGTAGTCGACCGCGGTTTGTGTCCCGGACCCGGTGGCTTGAAACTCACGCCGGGCGCGTGTGCGTGCGTGCCCAAGATCCCGAGAGGAGAATGGAGGAGAAGGGATTGCGGCGTGACCATCCCCCCTGGGGGGTGATTTCTCGCTTTCTGTCTCTATGTCTCTCTCTGTCTGTCTGGCGAGCGCACCCGCCCTACAGTGAAAATCTCTCAAAAAAAAAAAAAAAAAAAAAAAAAAAGCATGGGAAACACTGTTTTGTTAAAAAGCGGCTTCTTGAGCCAGCAGGTGGCGTGGTGGTTCAGGTGCTGGACTCCCACAAGGTTGACCTCGGTTGAGTGGTGGATGTGGTGCCTTGCTTTCTTACATTCCCCCTCTCTCTGGTGAGTGTGCATGTCCTGTAGCAAATTTTAAAATAATAATAATGATAAATAAAATTAAATACATAAAATGTACTTGGCACTTCGTTTCTCTTTTTAGTTTTTTTTGGTCACAGGATGCATGTGTTCACCAGAGAGAGACAGAGAAAGACAGTGAGAAATCTTCTTCTGGGGGGGTGGTCACACCACAATCGCTTCTTCTTCATTCCCTCTTGGGATTCTGGGCACAGACACACACACACACGCCCAGCGTGAT